CACAGTGTGCACAGTTACGCCAAGGTAAGCCAAGACTTGAATTGTACAAAATAAAAAAATATATTTTATATCAAACATATACATGCATTTTTTTATATACAAGGGGATGCTTTCTTAGTATGAAATAGTTTGTGAAACACCCTTAAAATGATGGGTTATCTCATTTGCTTCTGTGGAACAAGGTATCTATCCATATAATTAAATTGATTTCATGACATTTCCATTTTCTAGAACTCTTAGGATCCCCCTCACCTTCAGTAAACATGGTGTGACATTTTACCTCCTTCCTGAATGCAAACTTCTCTTTTGAACAATCTCATTAATATTTTATATTGAAAACACAGGCACTATTGTCTGACTTCACCATTTGCCTCTTCTTAGTCTAAGTCTCTAAAGGGACTTGGAAAAAAACAACAAAAAACAAAAGAAAATAATTGGAAGAGGAACTTCTAAGAAAGGATAACTTTCATGAAAAGTTTAATTGATGAGAAAGGGATAACCATTAAGCATGTCAGATTCAGAAGAAGATTAAAAAAATAGTGAATTTCTACATCCCCTTTTCCCTCTTTGACTAGCAGAATCTTCTTTTGCCCCCTTTAATAACAGCAGTGTCTCACCAGCTTATGATTCCCAGTTGTTTGAGCTACAGGACAGGAAACTGTGTTTAAATATAATTATTTTAGGTTAAGGCATAGATGTTCTCTAAGGCCGTTTAATATAAAGTGGTAAAATATCTTGTCAGAGTGAAATAGAACCAGATTAAATCCACTTACTCAATGGCAAAAGGGTTAGCTTCAGAGACCAGGACAGGTAGCTTTTTATCAAAATAATGTGTGAAAAAAGTAAATGACTTCTCAATACCCTTAATCCACTTCATAATAAATGAAAAAAAAGCTTTTTGTAGATTTCTGTTGGAAATTTTTTCCCTTGCTTATTGTTTCTTCCTTTGACTGTAACTCAGCTAATCAAAATCATAAAAGTCCAAGTTTAAAATTTAGGTATACATAATATGCCAGGCTGGAAGTGATGGATGAATTTGCAAAAAGGAAAATTTGTCTCTACAACAGAATTAATGGCATTTACCTTCCCCAGTTTTTTATTATTAGATTTTCCTTTCTAGATGTTATACAGCAAATTGTTATGTGCCTTTGTCAGTGGGTGACTGTTTCATATATTTGCACTGAAAACATACCTAATGTAGCGTGTCAGGAAGCATTGATTAAAAGGTCATCCACAACTATTAGTGACTCTTTTTGGTGAGAGGGAAGGGAGGAGAGTGTGAAGACATTGTCACGTGTATTAAGAGCCGTGTGTGTGTGTGTGTGTGTGTGTGTGTGTGCGTGTGTGCGTGTATGTGTGTTACTATTTATTTCTTGGTAGGTGATTGTAATTACAGGGAACATAGAAATGCCTTCATGAATGTCTCAGCTGACTAAGCAGAGGCTATTTCTCAGGCTCTGGAGGCTTACCTTAGTATAAAACTTCATGTGCGTGGTGTAGAGCGGTGAGGAGTACTTAGGCTGAAGTGAATGAAAAGGGCTGAAACCCAGCTGTGCCCACTCAGAAATGCTCTCAAAGTTTGGAAGATGAGACAATAAGAATCTTGATGCTTTTCTGAAAAAAAAAACTTGCTATACAGTATATCCCCAGGAAAAAAAATTATTAAAATTTTTATTAGTTTTTTTAAAAGTTTTGATCATATTCATTCCCCTTCTAACTCTTCCCAGATCCACCCCAATTTGTGTCTTCTTTTATTTTTTTTAACTTAACAAGACTAATTCATGCTATCCAAATATTCTTGGATGTATGGCCTCCTGGGGAGTGATTGGCTTCCTTAGGACTACATCTTATAGAAATCTGTCTCTCTGTCTTCCAGAAGCAGCTAATCATTTCCAAAAGCTTCACAGCCAGAGGTGGAATTGTATGCCCCACTTCCATCTCCTTACAGGGTCTGACTTGGTCTTGCCCAGGGTGTGTACATGCTGTCCAAAGCACTGTGAGCTCATAGGTGTAGCTTCCTTGCTGTATGAAAAAGACACTGATTCCTTGTAGTTTCTCACTGCCTTTGGCTTGCATTCTTTCTCCTCCTCTTCTGCCATGATCCCTAGCCTTAGGAGCAGGGGCTGAGGCATATATGTTTCATTTAGGACTGAACACTTTGCAGTATCTTATTCTGTACATCCTGGCACGTTGTGGGTCTCTGTATTAATCACCATCTATTACAACAGAAGTTGCTCAGGTGAGGGTTGATAGATGAAATCATCCATAGGTAGAATAAGTCATTAGGAGTCTATTTAATGCTATGCCCATTTATTAAAATAGTAGTAATAGGTTCTCCCTTAGGGCTTATGTCTAAAAAGAGGAGAAAAGTCATCATCAAACACTCATCTGTGACCCCTGGGAGCTACAGTAATGACTGACCTGCCCAGACATGCTTCCTGATGCAGTAGTGGCATGAACAATGGGGAGTAACCAACCACTTTCTGAGCAGATCCAAGTCTCACCCCCACAAGATGAAACTCATCCCTGGCAGTGTTATCAGGTCAAAACCTGTAGCTAGATAGGTCATGGGTTCTAGACAATGTTTCTGATCATCTCTGTGAAAGGACCTTTTCAGTAATGGGACTATTGCAAAAGAAATGAAAAAGCATCACGTAATGAGGAAAATCCGGAGTTGGAATTTAACTGTATCTTGACAGAACACATCTTGTTACTTGGAAAGATTGTTCATTTTGCTAAATGCCAGTGCTCATTCACTTGACAGAAAAGTGATTAATGATTAATGCTAAGGCTAGGTCAGTACTTATATCTAAATAAAGTTGACTTTTCTTGAGACTGCTTTTAAATCTATATTTCTGAATAGCTAAAAAGGCGAGTTCTTGCCCCAGTTATAAAAAATTAATGGGACCCATACAGTTAATTTCTGATCATGTGGCCCATAAGTGAAATTGCTTGACATTTCTGCCATGGAAATTCAGAGAAAAGAGCAGTTAAATATTCTTTGAGCAATCTCAGAGACTTAATGAGATAGATAGGTGGGGTCTCCAAATTTGGACACTCTTCTGGGTAACTGAGAGGACACAGCTGTAGCTGGGGAAGAGAACAGTAGAGGAAAAGCATGGGGATGGACTGCGTGTGAGTTGTTCCACACAAGTTGGTAAATAGCTTTGTAGAAAGAGGGGTTCCAGCAAGCGCAAAGACTGAAAGATTCCAAAACCTTACCAGACACTTTGTATACAGAAGAGAGAGAGAGAACAAGAGAGACAGAGAGAAAGAGAGAGACAGAGAGAGAGAGGCAAAGAGAGAGATGGAGGGAGGGAAACAGAGACAGTGAGAGAGAGAGAGAGTGAGGGAGGGAGGAAGGGAGAAAGGGAGGGGGAGAGATATAAGTCACATTGTAAATGTTGAGGACAGGAGGAGACATGAAGAGTGTCCTGGTTGATGTTGGAGCAGATGGAGAGAGGTAGAAATCAGTTTTATTGTAGGAATAAATAACTAATTAATGACCTGCTGGACATCTGTACAGCTGTAGCTCTATTGTCTTTCACTCAGCTGATACACATGGGAGCTCTTGACCCCTTTGCATCTACCTTGATCTCACTCCTCTCTTGTAGGAGAACCTCCGGAATGTGCCTGTGAATAACCCCTAGTGCAAACCCAAACCTTGGCAGCCATCTCTATACTACCCCAAAACAGATGTACTATGGTCATGAGCTAGAATTATGTATAGGGTCAGTATTACTGTCATTGAAATAGATCTAGGAAAAGCTTACTTCCAGATCAGAAAAATTTGGGAGAGAGGGTTAATGTCTAGATGGGAAGACACATTCTGTGGGGTCAACATCTAAGGTTTATGACCTGCTCATCCTATGCGAGAGCCTTGGTATAGAGTCAGATCAGGATCTTCTAGACAGGGACCTAAGAAAAACAACCAGGGTAACTAGCAATCTTAAGGCATGAACATCTTGACCTGCTTTTTTTTCTTCTGATAATTAACTTCACACAATTTTGGAACATCTTTTTGGAATTAGTTTGGAGGAGTGCTTGAGTGAGTAGAACCTTATTTTACTGAGCTTTCCACATACTTCCTTCTGATGTCAAGGAAGAGACGGAGTCAAATTCTGCCAGTTTCCCATCTATGCCTTTAATAATTTTCATTCATTTATTTAGGAGTATATTGAGACCTTTTTTGTAGGCACCAAGAGGAGATCCTACAACTTTATTCTGACTTATTGTGTATTTGTGTGTGTGTATGTGTGTGTCTAAGTGTGTTTGTGATGTGAGTATGCATTAGTATGGTATGCATGTGGATGTCAGAGGCTAAATTTTGGAATCTGATGAGTATAAATGAGTACATATTCAGCAGGCAATGAATGCAGATCAGGTAGAGACCTTGGGAGCCCTTTGGAGGTCTTTAATAACATGCCATAGCAACCCTGGAAAAGCTGATGCAAAGATGTCAGGGTTGCACAGCCCCCTTTGCATATTTAAAGGACTTCTCTTCTTTCTTTGTGGAGAACATCTTAGAAGGGGACAAAACACATGGGGAAACTAGATGAAGTCATTATAGGAAGGATGGAGATTGCTTGGTAAGAGGCAATGCCATCTGAGATAGGAAGTGGATTAATTTTTAAAGTAGAAGCAAAGTATTCAGATCTGAAGGTGGAGAGTCCCGAGATGATTCTCAAAGTTCATTTCCAGGATTTCATTGCCAGCACTTAATGGTTGGTACACCAGAATTATCTACAGATTATTAAAAGGAAGCAGCTGAAGGGAAAAACACAAAAATGCCTCGGACTGTATGATCCAGAGGCCAGGAAAACGAAAGAATAAAATGGGGGATAGGCAGAATGGCTCAGCGGGTAAAGGTTCTCACTGACAAGACTGACATTCCATCCTTGGGACCTATGTGGTAGAAGGAGAGAACCAACTCTTTCAAATTGTCCTCTAAAGTCAACACACATTCTGTGGCACATGCCACATAAAGACAGAAAGTCCATGTGCTCACTTCAGAAGCACATATACTAAAATTGAAATGATACAGAGAAGATTAGCATGGCCCCTGCGCAAGGATAACATGCAAATTCGTGACACGTTAAAAAAAAACAGAAAAGTCCTTTGTATTTATCATTGATATTATTGATAATCTTAGCAAATGTTGTTTGAATAAAGCAATGGAAGAAGGACCCAAAATTACCTAATGAAGAAAAATGAAAGAAGGGCTGGTACACAGCTCAGTGGTAGAGAACCCATTAAAGCATGAGACATCCTGGATTCTATTCTCGGTACTATGTGTATATAGATAACTCTAGAAATTTGGTTAGGAAATAGAGATCAAGATGAAGATCTATATATGTGTCTTTTTATAAAAAAATGGGAGTGATTTCAGAATGTTTGAATCTCTATGGAGAAAGTCTTAGGAGGGAAGGAAAAGTTGATTATATTTTGAGGGAAACCTTCCCTTCTTTCAGTTTTTGCCCACAGTCACTGTTTCACAAGAAGTTTCTGTTCTCTGGGAAATTTGGGGGCAAGAATTTGAAAACTCTGTAGCAAAAGCAACTGGGATTTTGCAGGGACAGAAAAAAAAAAAACCCGCCAAGGAGAGGAGTGACAGCTCCCGTAATTGAAGGGCTGATTTAAGATTCAAGCGTTTCATTGTTTGCAACCACAGCAGAGCTTGCGATTATGCTGAGTGGGGATGTGACTTATAGAGACCAATTTCATCAAGTCTTTCATTCCTTGGGGTCCCTGGAACAGTGTTACTCTGAGTATCCGTGCTGGTTTCCGAAGCTTGACTTACCCTATTGAAACCACAGGAAGAATGCTATTTGATTTATGAAAGGAGTTACCCAGCCGTTCACCTAATTTTGAAACAGTGACAGGAATTGGAGGAAAGAAAAAGGATATTGAACCAGAACTGTACAACTTGCAAGTTATCAAGATGCCTAAGGAAGACAAAGATTTTTTAATATTCTCAGCCATAATTCATTCAAATGAAGTTAAGAAGTCAGTTTTCAAGACAATGCAAACTTGCTAATGCAGATAAACTTTAAGGGCTGGATAGCTCTTTAAAAGTTTGGAGTGTAGTGTATAAGGGAAGCTAGGGTAACTGTTTAAAGTAGTTAAAAAGGATGGGTTTCTTTTAAATACATGAAGTTACTCTATTAAAGTAAAGCATTAGCACATCAATTTAATAAACTGGAATCCAGTTATTTGCACAGAAGAAGACAATTATGAAGAGCTCAATCCCTCACACATTTGGGCTTTTTCAAGTCAATTTAACATGTATCTTATCCTATTGGTCAATTTACATAATAAGATTTAAAATAATACTATAAAAGTGGACTTTACCAAAGAATGAAGCACGATAGCCAGAAAACACTAAACACTGCTTTAAGAAGACATATATAATATCCCAGAGTATGAGAACAAAAACTAAGTTATGTTCTTGACCTTCATTTTGAAAGAGCAAGATGTGCTCCCCATAAAGTTCATATCTTTGCATAATTTTGTGTCATGTGATTATAAATATGGTGTGTTTTTATTATTGTGGCAGTTTGAATGTAATTGGTTCCTATAAGCTCATAGGAATTGGCACTATTAGGAGGTGTAGCCTTGTTGGAGTAGGTGTAGCCTTGTTGGAGGAAGTGTGTCTCTTTAGGAGGGCTTTAAGATCTCATGTATGCTTAAGTCATGCCCAGTATCTTAGACCACTTCCTGTTGTCATCTGATTAGGATACAGCCAGTGCCATGTCCACCTATATGTCACTATGTCTTGCCATGATCATAATGGGCTAAGCCTCTGAAAATAAGCCATTCCAATGAAATGTTTTTCCTTTCTAAGAGTTGCCATGGCCATGATATTTCTTCACAGCATTAGAAACCCTAACTAAGACAGTTACTCATGTTCAAAGAATTCAAAAGGGGCATGACAACTTTTCAATATTGTAGGTGAATATATAAAGTTATACCTGTGGATAATATTGATAAGCAATATATTGATGAGTTATGGCTTCCTGAAAACAGGAGTTCTGATAGGTTTCGATGAATTATGTAGACCCTGAGCTAGATAGTCTGTGATACAAATGACTGGCTCATATGTTCTACATGCATATAATATCTACCTTGGATAAAATGCTCACAATTGGCCATCCATTCTCTCTGATCCTTCCTTGTCAAAAAGTTTTATTATCTATCATTCAGTACAATTCTGCTAACTTTATTCTAAAAACTATAAGTTTGAAAAAATTTTTACAAAATGAGCTTCCATTTTGGTTATCCAATATCAAGAGATCATACCTAAAAGCCGATACACATAAGTAACTTCATTTGGGTGAAGCAGATTGCATTTATATATTTAACAACTATTTTAAAGATAGAGGCTGTCTTAGTAACCTTTCTATTGCTTTGATAAGACACAACAACCAAGGCATAGTTTATAAGCAGAAGTTCATAATCGGGTTTATGGTTTCAGAGGGCTCGAGTCCATGATGGAGGAGCAAAGGGACGGCTATAGGAACAGCTGAGAGCTCTCATCTTCATCCAGCTGTTCCTGCAAGTTTCTTTGCTTTCTAGTCAAGGAAGTTCTATTTGGTGTTCTGCTACTTTTCTATGGAGAATTTCAATTGGGTGAAAATCCTTAAATAGCACAAGATATCCTTCATGTCTAACTTTGTCTCGACTCTGTAGGATTCTCATGTTTTTCTCAAGGGTAGGTAAGTTTGTTTTTCTCAATTCATGTGACACATGCCACAGAAATCCCCCCCCCCCTACACATATGGTTGGAGGCTTTTTTCTTCTCAGGGCAGCATATGAGGAAGACACAGAACACAGGCTTGGCTTTGGGAAAGCACAGACTTCAGTCAGTGTTCTTGACTTTCTGTGGGACCTGGGACATTACCCTCTTTTTTGTACCTGTACAGTGAAACATGTAACAACCCCATGAGACTGGAATAAATTTAGTAATTTATTACTGATAGCAGACCCTCTACTTAAAGGATTTGCCTAATAAAGCCAGGCTCCCTGACATTCTAGGGCAGGGGTGGAAGTGGGCTGTGGAGGAAGCCCTGAGCAAATGTGTATTGTTTGACATAGTCAGGGCCATGAAGATCTTGGTGCCTTAGACTCATAATAGCAAAGTCTTTCCTGGGCTCAGGGAAATGATAAAGCCGCCCCTTCTGATTTGAGTGCCAATGTTGATAGTATATGCAGAAAATATGCACTGTATCTTTCTTCCTACAGATATTTACAGCCTGGAGTTTGTTCTCCTAGAGAGACTGCTCCTACCAAGATTAGCTAAATCTGCCTCCTTGATTCATCTGTGTACCATAAAGCCTGCCCCGTTGATTTAGTTGATGCAATAACACTGCTTTCCTGTTTAACTGTGTGAAGCTGTGAAGGTGAAGCCTACTATGGATGCCAAAAACCACCACTCTTATCTTAAAGGGAATAAGAAATAGTTTTTTTCTGGATCTATTTTGTGTGATTATGTGTAGTGAGGAGCGAGCGGCGGGCTGTGTTCCTGCTGCCCCGGCTCACGGCTGCCTGGCTAGCTTATGCCCTAAATAATTACACGGAAACTGTATTCTTTTAAACACTGCCTGGCCCATTAGTTCCAGCCTCTTATTGGCTAGCTCTTACATATTGATCTAACCCATTTCTAATAATCTGTGTACCACCACAAGGTGGCTTACCAGAAAAGATCTTAACCTGCGTCTGTGTCAGGTGGGAGAATCATGGCGACTGCCTGACTCGGCTTCTTTCTCCCAGCATTCTGTTCTGTTTACTCCGCCTATCTAAATTCTACCCTATCAGAGGGCCAAGCAGTTTCTTTATTAATTAACCAATGAAAGCAACAAATAGATACAAGACCCACCTCCATCATTTATGACCTAGGAACACAGACTTAGGTTACCCCAAATTTTGTGTCCCAACGTGGAAGCCATTTCATGAAATTTTATAGTTTTATAGAACAAGTGTAGTCAAATAAATCATGGCAAGTTAAAGTACATTGACGGGTACATAAGAGAGGCAGTTACAGCAAGATGGAAGATTTTTTTTCTAGGCCCCATATGATCTGGTGATACTTTGCATATGGGTAGTAAAAGCTAGTGTGTAGCGCATCATGCCCGTCTGCGCTCTATGCGCCACCATACAGTTTGTGAACTCAGCAGAGGGCTGAAGATTGAAACACACAAAGACTCAAAGACAGAGAGAGACACAGGTTATCCTTGAGACAGGAATGGCCCCTATATTGTGCACCAGAGCCGCTTATATATAGAGATCCTTAACCGATAGCCATGCCCCAGCCAAATGCACCAGAAACCACTCCCCTGCCATCAGGAACTCCTGAGGGTCTCATGCTCAGAGCAGCTGCAAGCATTACAAGTTGTTTACCAGAAATTCAGGATCTGAGCGGGGGGGAGGGGGTTCACAGCTCCCAACACTAATGGTCTGCTAAGTTAATAGATTCTGGAAGGTTCCCATCTATTAGTCATAAGGTGTTAGTTCAGACACAAAGGTGAGCAAGGAATGGCTATTCTAGAGGACTAAAACCGGCTCACAATAAGGTAATTAGCTTTGGACCTACTACATTCTAATATCTGCATAGTACTGAAAATCTGATCAGTCAACCACTCAATGCAGACACAGCTTCTTTGTAAGAGGTTTTGTTCACAGTAGGTTGCAGCAAACTCCAGAGTGCTGAGATTGTCAGGACCAAGGGGCTTCTGCAGAGAAAACCTGCATATGAGGAGTGGAGGTGGCCCAAAGAGAGACTCTATGTGCTTTAGGCAGTAGAGCTGGAGGCAAGGGGCTAGTTAAGTCTTAGGGAGCCTAGCTGAGTCCATCTCAAGCTCCTGATGATGGCCATGGATCTGCAGAGTTGAATGTTTTCTGTGTTGAGTTTCGCTCGTGATCTCATCCAGTCTTTCCTCACTATGCCCTCATTCCTTCATTTTGGAGGAGTGTGTTATTGTATGTTGGAAATATGTACTTTGTTTTGTGATGTTACAGGACTCACGGGTAAGAGGTTGCTTAAGTCTCAGAAGAGACTCTCCGCTTGCGTTTTTGAACAGTGCGGCTATGAAAGGTTATGGAGACTTCTCA